TTTCATCATCATTCAATTCAAATCATCATCCTAGCCAAAAACAAGGTATCATCAAAACTTTGGCAGAGAGGGCGAAGAGAATTTGTGAACCACAACATCTCCAAAGTGAACTTCTTTATATTGAAAAAGCGCTCACCTCTAATGGGTACACCAGAAAAGAAATACACAAGGCGATGAACAACGTATCTAGAAGAAGGGACGAAGAAACAGAATGTAAAGGGAAAGCGTTCTTGCCCTATATATCGGGGGTAACGGACAGAATTGGGCGAATACTCAAGAAAGCCAACATAAAGACCATCTTCAGACCTACAAAGAAGATCAAGGATTGTTTAAGATCGGTAAAAGACAAACGCGACCCATTAGCAACGGCCGGAGTATACCGAATACCATGCACATGTGGAATGGTATATGTGGGAACCACAAAAAGACACACCAACACCAGGATAAATGAACATAAAAGCCATTGTCGTTTAGGACATATCGACAAATCTGCCGTTGCCGAACACGCTTTGGGAAGCGGAGAACATCGAATACTATTTGAAGAAACACAGATGCTGGACAAAACTTCACAGTACTACCCACGGTTATATCGGGAAGCGGTGGAAATATACAAGCACCCAAACAATTTCAATAGGATAGAAGAAGGACTAAAAATCAACAAAACATGGATACCAGTATTAAAATCCACAAACGCCCTTCCCGCCAAACACGGAGATAGAAAAGCTACTATAAACAATGACACGCCCCCTCAAGCCGAAACCAGTGGAGGGGAGGCGAGTGGGAATTATAAATATTGCCTCCGTAGTACAACGCGTCGTCAGTTTCTGCTTACAAGCGAAGCATCAACATCTCCAGAAGATGCCAACCCCTAGTGTTGGCGAAACGTCGAGAACTAATCTCAACAGAAGACAACGGCCCAACAGCCCGAATAAACAGTTTAATAAGTTAGACGATGGCCGTGAAAGCCTAACGCAATTTATCAAATTTTATCATGTTTGTAAGCTACATAGCTGTCGAAAGAAATATATTTTTATATTGTAGTTGTTATCTAGATTTTAATTATGGAATATATTGACTTTAATATTTTATCTTTCAGGTTTTCTTTCGCTCAGGAACCTCAACGACTCACGACATGGAATTAAACTTGAATGCTGCAATGATCCTTGTGGTGCATCTAAATTGTCTCAGTATTGTGAGGATGAGCCTAAAGATATATGTGCATTAATTAATGAGATGGCACCTTATTTCTCACCATAAAATTTTAAATAGCTAAGGCTCTATATAGTGCGCATATTTCTCACCTCAAATATTTTTTAAACCAATTAACTTAAATTAATAAAGTTTGAGGGAACTGAACTAAGACACCTATTTATAGTTTTTGTATTGCTGTCCTATACCTAGATGACAAAATATGAAGGGAAAATGGTTTGTGTATAGGTTTTAATTAGCCTACTTAATATAACTGATATTACTCGGCAGTAATATCAATGAGAGCTGGGATCCAACCGCCTTTGTAAAAATGACAAACGTACTTTGCAGTCACGATCTTAGCATTGACCTTAGAGTTCGATTGACATCTTGCTACATCTTTCCTGTCCTGCTGTATGGAGTGGAAGCGTGGACTCTAATTGAGGCTATGCTTAAACGCTTGACAGCCTTTGAAATGTGGGTATACAGACAACTACTGAAAATAAGCTGGGTCGACAGTGTTAGAAATGAGGAGGTTCTTAGACTGCTGAACCAAACACCACAACTGGTCAATATAATAAAGAAACGCAAGCTTGAATACTTCGGTCTCATTATGAGACAGCCTGAAAAATATTATCTTTTACATCTGATCATTCAGGGTAAGATCCAAGGTAATCGTGGTCCTGGTAGAAGAAGAACATAATGGCTGAAAAATCTAAGACAATGGTATGGAATATCAACTACATCGTTATTTACAGCTGCTGTCAATAAGGTCACGATAGCGAATATGGTAGCCAACATGATATCCAACGATCGATAACGGTCGGTCATGGAACTAGAAGAAGAAGACTTAATATACGTTGATGTGGCTAACAAATCCTACCAGTGATGGGATTATAAAGGGCAAGTGTCCAGCGCGTTAAACCTGGACACATTTACTAAACTGTTACAACCGTAACACGAGAATCCCTGGTCATTCAGGTTGGAGGTTATCCCTTGTAAAAAGGATTATACTCTAAAGAATTAGCCAGACTGAATAGATAAAAGCGGAAGAAACAGACATAATAGATAAGGGCTAAGGGGAGCCACCAACGAGTTTTTAAGTAGAGGCAGCTAAAAGCGTAACCAGAAACAAATCACCCAGAATAGATCCTCTCCCATCCGAACTGTATAGAGCTGGCGACAATAATACAAGATACAATAAAGTCACTACAAGTTATAACAGAAATACAGGGTGTTTCAAAAAGGTATGCCATAAATTATATCACGCATTCCGGGGACAAAAATAAATTGATTGAATCCAACTTACCCTTTACGGCCCTTTTCATTAACCTTTAGAATATTACGTGCAACTAAATAAACGGTTTAATAAATTAACAAGTACAAAAAATGTCTACAACCTCTATAAATATGATATCGATGCTTAAGGCTGTTTTATCGGTGCACCAAAATTTTTTCTCTGTTATTTACCGACGAAATGTCTCGAAATTTGGACATGTTATACGAAATTATGTTGCCTTTAAACTGATGGTTTTACTTTTTTTATTTTTTTGAATTTTCTGTCGAAAAATTGGATTATACTGTTTAACGTTCTATTATAACTAAACTTTTCACGCCCATCAGTTGAAAGAGTTTTTTTTTCTGTAATCGTTGATTCTTTTTTCACCTTTCTGTGTCCAGTAATAATCGAGAAAAGCGTATTCAAACTTTGAAGAAAATGGCTAAAAAATACTGAAATCTAATAGTGAAACGTGTTCCTCATCATTGTCGCTGAGCTTGATCGTTATCGCATTAGTGACGTCAAATCTCATGAACGTACGGTACGGTCTTATTTTTATTTCTCTATGGGTACAGTCAGTTAGTTCGCTTGAATTAGAATCCATTTTAGTTCTTTCATTCTTGTATTTTCTTTATCAACTTGCTTAGTTTTTACAGTTTACAGTATTCTTATTTATTTTGAAAACATTGAAATTATTTAGTTTACGTGTATGTTAAGTAATATATTATTAGTTTAGTGGTATAAGTTAAAAGTTCTTTAGTTTACGCGTATTTTTAAGTATTACATTAGGTTAGTGATATAAGTTATAAGAGACAAGATAAAAAATGAGTCCCAGTAAACGTCCTATGTCAAGGAAAACGAGAGCAATTGCACTGCAGTAAGTATTTATTATTTATATATATTATTTATATATATTATTATTATTATATTATTATTTATATATATATATATAATGCGATATATATATATATATATATATATATATATATATATATATATATATATATATAGGTTTATTAAAATTGATTTTTTTGTTTTATCATTTCAATTATTACAGTACTGTCATCGAAAATAGTACAACTATGAAAATTAGGTTGGGAAATATAGAAATTTGTTCCATATCTTCCATTATATTGGTCTACGATATGGATTTGCCTATGTCGCCTAGTATTTTGAATATGTTTCCCATATGGGGCATTTATGAATAATTTATATAGGTTTTTTTCAAATTCGTTTTTACTCTCCTTACGTATTTTTTTAACCAAGGGGATTGTTTAAATTTCAAACAGCGATGAATTTTCGTTATTTTCAAACCCAAGTTAACAATCTGTTTTAAATATATATAATGAATACATATTTTTTTGATCGTACAATGTGGTTAATAATTTGGGAATTGTTTAATTAGAAGATGGTGGGATCATGTGTTCAGGACAAAGAGGTAAATCTTTATGTAAATTAAAGAGTTCTTTTGGATATTCAATGTCGACTTCAAGTATGTATCCATATTCCCCATCATCGGGACAATCTAATATATTTTCCTTATAAATATCAATTACATTAATCCATTCAAAGCCTCCATATGGCAACGCAAAACACATTGCGCAACCATAAAGATTATTAAAATCCCAATATATTATATAGGAGTTTTCTTTATTAGGATTGTATTTATCTTCCATATATTTATTATTAGCCTTCCCATATCTATTACTACACTGTGAAACTCCTCCTCGTTTTGCTTTTTCAATAAACAAAATAAATCTCACTCTCTCGTAATAATTCTAATCCGACATTCGTTACTTTTAAGATAGCATCAAAGGCTAATCCTGGTAAAGTATAATAATGAAGACTATCTAATCCATAAGTTTTTAAACACATAGATTGATAACATATATATTATACTTTAATTCCAACAGCAATTGTCAAATTGTATATAATCACAAAATTTATCAAACTTATAACACTGTAAATTGTGGACAATTGTGTTTAGATTTTTTAAATAAATACTCGTTTTAAAAGAATATTCTTTTATTTCTTTTATTATTATCGTTCGAACATGTCGTACACTTTTGTGTTATCTGGAAGAGAATCAGTGTTATCAACCAAAATTTACCCACCAATTATTTTTAATGAAAATGAACAGTATGTACTAGGGTTAATAGATTTTATGTCATACAATTCCAAATGTAGACCAAACAAGTAACAAATTTTATATAAATGGGTAGGATAAAACGATTCCAAATGGTTCATATGAAGTTGATGATCTTTTAAATTATTTAACTGAAAAAATAACCTAGTTGGAATTAAAATTAGATCAAACACCTGAAAAAGATGAGACAGACATTGATAAAAATAGAAAAGGCCAGAAGCAAAATTTAGTTACTCAAGGAGGAAACGCAAAAGCTAAAAAATAGCATAATATGGATCAACCTACAAGTCTTCTGACAACAGAAAACAAAGTCTTTTTAACCTCACTAGGATTTAAAATAAAACCTAACAACAACGACAATGACAGGGAAAAAGAAAAGAAATACTTGGTGTAGAATAAAGTTCTTTATTAATACTAGAATACTTGTAATTTGCTTGAGGTGTACTTGTAAGAATGAATATGAGTTTTAACATTTTAAATATTGCAGATCGTGTATTGGTTGACAATTCAGTTGTTAGTCGAGAAATGCACAGTCATTTTACCCTTCGTCGCTGTTACTGCAATAGGTCGTATGTCAGAAAAGACGATTTTTCAGGAGATGAAAAAAATGATGTAAAATTCAGGACTTTCGTATTTTCGATCTGCATTTTGCGGACAAGTTTTATTGATCCAGTTATATTAATGTTATAGTAATAGATCAACTAACCGGGGTTTAGAAACTCGTTTTTTATGACATAAGATAATTTGCTTGCTACCACTTGGTTACATTTATCAACATAAGATCTATTGCAATAAAAAATACACCTAATTGTATGGTATTTGAATGTTTTATTTTCTTAAGTAATACAAGGTTACATCTTAGGTATCACATTCAAAAATATAGATTTATTTTCTTCTTGTAAGTGCAGAAGAAACATTTATTTATGCAACAAATTTTCATAAAATACTCTACAGTCTGCAGGAATAAACTCTTTTAGTTCTTGTAAATGGGCATATTTGGTCGATTCAATTGGACACGGGCCTTCGTAAAGATGAGAACGTTCATCGTTGGTAATTACTGAACGTTGACGATGAGGCACATCGACCCAGGTATCTGAGAATTGCAGTTTGTACAAAATTGTTCCACTTGGATTATATTGAAGGGCACAGATATCGGTCACCATGGGGTCTCCTGCTTTACGGCCGGGCCTTATGCTAGAATAATACTTTGATCCAAATTAATAAAAATCTGTGTGTGTCAATTCAATTACTTGAAAAGGAGAGGGACTATGCCTTGCCTCTCTCATAATACGCAAATAATCAGAAGGGAGGTAGATTTCCTTTCTGCGGCTCAACTTCCGTTCTATTAGACTGTGTACAGAGTCTACCTCCATTTGAGTATGTCCTACCTCCAGATATTTCTGCTCTATCGTAACTGAACTCTTTTTGGAAATGTCGAGTAAGGCATTGGATAGCTTGATGTTTCTATTCTGGTAGCAACATCCATCGCTCCAAATAATGATCTTTGTAGGACAATGTTTGTTAATCTGTTCGTTTAGGAATTTTGTCGCTATGGATGCGAAAATATCACTTTCAAGACCTCCTTGGCCCTCGTGCCATACAAAGCAAGTAACTGTCTTATTTTTTAGGTCATAGTAAGTCCAGTTATGCACCTTTAACTTTGTTTTGTAGTAGTTTGCTGCCGTATTTAGTCGAGGAGCTAGAAGCACTGCTTGCAGATCTACTGCAAAAACTAAAATACTCTCATTTTCTTGGCACTCAGTTTTGTCATTTTCTTTTGCCTGTCGAGCTTCCGATTTCCTAAGTAGGTGAGCCTGGTAAACTTCTTCCAATATGGATCCACACTTGTAGCCTGAGCATGTATTGCACTGATCTTTCTTTGGTGTCCATATTTATAAATTTAACTTTTTGAATACTTTGAAAAAAGTTGTCCATGATGCTGAATTTTTGTCTGCATCCCGACACTTATCTTGATAAATCCTATAGACATGTCTGTAGCTATCCCATACTGGTTCTAAGTATAGCTTTGTCGTTGAACTTCTACAGTAATGAGACTCTAAGTGTGGTAAATTTGAAAGAAACTCTTCAACGTCTTTTGAACCGCCTCGATTGTGCTCTTCTGATTTCTGTGTGCTAGTATTATTGTCTAGATGATCCTGGTTGTTTTCCGTTATCCAGTTCTGTACTGTTTTTTTCGCCAATATCTAATGTCGATAAAAACATGGCTTTGCAAACTTGTTTTTTAGATTTAGTATTTTGGATTGAATCATCTTCTCCGTCGCTTACAATCAAATAGTATTTCAAACTAACCTTCTTCAGTTTTACTTTGTCTGTTGTTGCGCGTCTATATTTAGGTGTTACTGGAAGAACTAGTCCCCTTAGAAATGTTTTTTTTGCTTCCCAAGAATTTAGATTCCAAAAGTCGTCGAATAGATTTTGCCTCTGAGTGTCAGTTATTTCACAACATTGGAAAGTTTGCCTTGGTCCTCCTTTTCCCTTTTTTTTCAGGTATTGGTCGGTGTCCGTTACATTTAGGCCCTATCTTTCGCTCCTTTTTTAAAACATTCTGCTTGTAAAACTCCATCAATATTTTTCTTGAACCCCGTATAAACCTTTCCATGAAGTCTTAAATCTGCATATTTATTTCTTTTCCATAATTTAGGAATACCTTGGCGTTTACTTTTTCTTTTGTTGCCTTTTCGACCATCGTTTTTGTTATTTGAATCATGATTCTGTTTTTCCATTCGAATAGGTGCATCTTCATTTTTGATATTTTCATCACTATCTTCATCATTTGACGGTTGGTATTCGGACCCAGAATCCTCAAAGGGGTTTTCGGTATCAGATGCAGATTCCTCTTGAACCTCAGTGTTATCTTGGATGGACTCGCCATAATAGCTGTTACTCAAAATCCTTCTCTCCTGAACGCTAGTTCCAGATATTAATAGGTTTTCGTTCGGTATAATTGTAGAGGAATCTTGAACCAAATCTGACTTGTCGCAGTTGTCGCTCTCTGTACTGCAAAAAATAACTTGGTTTGTCATGCTCGTCGAAATATTTATGTTATCTTCAGGATCTGGAGTGTCGGATGTTTCTTCTATTCCTTCTGCTTGGAGAGACAGTTGTACCATGCGTCTACTTCCATTTCCTGAATACATATTGTTACTGAATCTGCAACAAAAAAGAATTCACAATAGATCGTATGTCAAATTAGTGTACTTCAAGTTGGATGACAATTGCTCTTATGTCAATAAATCTGATCAAATAATGATTGTTTATGAAGATTTTCACATAGAATATTATTATCTATAGATATCTATACTTCATCAGTACGACCATATCATTATCATGTTTATTCTCTAATTGATATCAATTTGAACATTAGGCTAGATTTTTTAGGTTAGGATATCTAATTTTTAATCACAAGCAAAAAGTGATGTGAAATAATGGTAAATGAGTGGCTTACCTTCTATCACTAAATCATAAGAGCTTTTAAAACATTCAACACATATACTACTAGTATATTTTTGCTTCAGAATGAACAAACATACGTAAGAAACAAGCCAACGTGACGCCTCCTTCGCAGATGTTTGACATACGTCTGTTTGCGGTAACCAATTACAGACCATCACTGCATAAGACATATTAGTTAGGTGCGCGCGCTCCATTAATATGCGGTATTCACGTATGAGGTTTTGCAGTATGCTAGAACTGATGATTTTGGTTAGGAATATGCATTAAACTGAAAAGTGAATAATTTTGACATACGACCTATTGCAGTAACAGCGACGCTATGCTAATGCAACTTTTAATCACTGTGATGAAATATGAGTACCAATTCAAACTCAAGATATATACACGCTACCTTCTGAGAGTTATCTATATATTGCAGGACGTTTAACGAATGATGGGAAAGAAAGCAATACTTTGCACTTTGTTAATAATGGTTTGATGCATTTATTTGATGAAATACGATATGAAATTGGAGGCTGTGTAATAGATGGAGTGAGAAATGTAGGTATAACAACGACAATTAAAAACTATGCTTCGTTCACACAAACTGAATCTAATCGATACAACTGTATAGGTTGGAGTATTACTGACACACCAACTGTTGCTGATAAATCAGGAAATTTTAATGTTTGCCTTCCACTCAAACTTGTACTTGGGTTTTTTGAAGATTTCATCAAAATTCTAATTAACATACGCCAAGAACTCGTATTGATAAGAAGTTCAACAGATTTAAATGTAGTAATGTGTACAGTAGAAACTGAAAAACCAAAAGTGGAAATATTTAAATTAATGTGAATCAGTATAGGAAATTATGGTATTGTAAAATAAATGAGCAACATCTGTTGATCGGCGAACGAGCCGCCTTGAAATATCTGCAGTCATTTAATTCCAAGAAAAAAAAGTTAGAAAATGTTGGTGTTTTTTTTTACTATAAACAAAGAATTTTAATTTTTTGAGCGTTTCTTTATTTAATGGTATGATTCTGGTAAAAATCATACCAGACCATAGATCCGATGATTATGTAAGGTGTCAGTGAACTAGATATAAAATATTTTACACACTTCAAAAATACATTTTATTGATTATATTTTAATTTGTTAAATCAGGAAAATAGGTTGTAGCGTCCCGAATAAACTCACACCATGTTCCATCTTTGACCTCATCCTTACAATATAAAGCTAGTACGGACGCAGAACATCGGTTAGTACAACAGTCATAGGCAAGTTGGCGTACTCCAAAACTGCCAACACCAAACGACTTTCCTGAGCCTAAAACATACGAAAATTACGTCAATAAGTGCCATAATATTAATCACAACTGTAGATACATGATTTCTTATAAAATAGAATTTTGATTTGAGTTGCAAGTAATTACTTACGAAGTACTTGAGCCATTTTCTCACTTGTTATTTTGACGATTGCTGTTACTGGCTTCTTTATTTAATTAATTTTATTTATTTAATAAACTAATTTATTTAATAAATGATCTTTACTATGAACAGCTAAACGATGAATACGAGTGCCTACCTAAACGTGTCGTAAAAATAATAATGGGTGATTGTAATGCTAAAATGGGAAAAGAACCTCTGTACACTGCAGTAACTGGTAACTACAGTAAACACGAAGTAACAAACAATAATGGTCAAAGACTTATTGGATTTGCCATGGAGAAAAACATGGTGGTGAGAAGCACACAACTAAAACGAACAGAGATATAGAAAGGTACATGGGTCTTCCCAGATGGAAGGACAGTTAATCAAATAGATCATGTTATGAATAAAAGCAAATATATGAATATTGTTCACAAGGTAAGAAGTATGAGAGAAGCTAAAATCGACTCGGACCATTACCTCGTTAAAGTCACATGTGGTAGAGGGCTGGAAGAAAAAGAGAAATCGAACAATAAAAAGAAGAGAAAGTACAGTATTGAAAAACTTAAGGAAGTAGAAATAAAAAATAAATATGAAGAAGAAATAAATAAAATTCTACAACAATGTGACCAAAATTTACAGACAGATCAAGTCTGGTTACAAATTAAAACTGCCTAAAAGGCGAAGCTAGCGAGAAAATAGTTAAGTGCGACTCCAAGAGAAGCACAAACAAAGATTGGTTTCGGCAGAAATAATGACGGAATGGAAAAAACATGTTAAAGAATTATTAAATGGTGAGGAGGACCACAAAGCAGTAGACAACTGAACAGTTAGAGAAGATGGGATAGTTCAAAGGCAGCCTACAGAGGAGGAGGAGGTGACAGCAATACAAGAAATGAAAAATAACAGAAGTCCCGGTAAAAATGACATATGCACAGAAATGATCAAGTTTGGTCAAAGAAACACAACTACAAAGAAAAATATAGCAGCTACTGGTGCAAGTATGGAAAAAGGAAGTAATGCCATCGGAGTGGTATGAGGCCCGCATATGCCCTCTGCATAAAAAAGGAGATAAACTGAAGTGTGACAACTATAGAGGTATAGCCTTATTAGACACGGTATACAAAATCTTGGCAAGAATATTCAGAAATAAACTAAACTGCTACACGGAAAGAATCCTGCATGAATATTAGGCCGGCTTTAGAAAGGACAGATCTACTGTAGACCAAATATTCTCATTAAAGGAGATACAAACGACTTGTTATGAAGGTAAAGTTCCCCTGCATGTTTTGTTTGTGGATTTTAGACAAGCATATGATAGAGTCAAAATGTATCGAGCAATGGAACATTTGGGTATACCAAAGAAACTGATCCGGCTAGTTAAAATGACACTTAATAACTCTACGTGTGAAATTGCTTGGCAGGGTCACCTATTAGATCAATTTACGGTTGCAAAAGGCTTGAGACAGGGAGATCCTTTATCCACTACATTATTCAACTTAGTGTTAGAAACTATAATTAGAAAATGCAGCATGAAGGTGGAAGAAACGATCATGAAAAATTAGCACCAGTGCTTGACATTTGCTGACGATCTAACGATCCTAGCAAAAACCGAGAAAGAATTAAGAAGAGTTGTGAAGAAAATCATCGAAGAAGCACAGAAATTCGGATTGGAACTAAATGAAGACAAAACCAAATATATGATCATGGAAGGGACAGAAGGGAAAAAAGAAGACTTTAGGTGAGGTCAGTAAGTGGTAAAAGTTATAGTTTTAAAAGGGTGGACAAATTTGAATACCTGGGTGTAGTTTTCGATGAAAATGAAAAAGAGAAATGGTAGCTCGAAGCCAGAATAGCAAAAGGGAATAAAAAATTAGGTAGTTTAAGAGCTCTACTGAACTCAAAATACGTTTCTAGACAAGGTAAACTCAGAATATACAAAACGTTAATTTGACCCACAGTAACATATGCCGGTGAGACATGGGCATTAAATAAGAAGGAAGAGGATACTCTGGAAAGATGAGAAAGGAAAATATTGAGACGCATATTCGGAGGACGGAAGACAAAAGATGGTTGGGAGAGAAGAACCAACAATGAATTAATGGCTTTATACAAAGAACCTACCATTACCAAGTTCGTCAAGGCACAAAGAATCAGATGGTTGGGACATGTGGAAAGAATGGCAGCAAACAGAATGCCTAAACTAGTAATACTAGTAAACCCTTGATCAAATGAAAGGCAGATATCGAGCACAGATTTATTAATTAAATATTGCACAAGTACTTTTGCTTCCTAGAGAATCTTCAGGGGCATCTGAAATAAGCCAAGAAACATTTTTTTTAACTAAAGAAATTAATTTACTTCGATAAAAAAAACTCCAAGTTAATGGGTGACAAATGACACAGAATATTGTTACGTAAAAATTAGTCATATTAAAATAAACCTGTAAACATGTTTATTTACTAAATATGTGGTAGAATGGACGAGACCTTTCGAACAGCTGGCAGACATATACCTGACACGATGTGTTCCCCTCCGATATGAAAGCGGTCGATCTTTCTAGAAACAGGCCGCTATAAAAAAAAAACAGTTCGAGACTATTCAGGTCAACTTCCGTCTACTTTATGAAAGATCCTATGAGACGACATTTCATATAAATGGCATGGATTTTTATTGAGGAAGTCAGTAAGAAGATAAATTCGGGGCTCGCGTATTTAAATGTACGAACGTAATAAATAGTTGTACAGTTATTTATTAAATTGATAATAAATTATTGTGAGTTTTATTAAAAAGAATAAATACAATAAATTAGAACAATATAAAAATATAACAAGTGGTGCGGAAGTGAGACAGATACTTCAAATAAAAAGTGAAATTCTGAAATTGTGAACATGGCTACGATTTACGAGCTCACAGTTACGGATTTAAGAAGGCATCTTGAGGAGAGAATTAGCTTCTACCGGAAAAAAGGCTGATTTAGTCCAACGACTAAAGAACGCTTTAAACAGAAGAGGGAGGGAGGGAGGATCCGGAAACGTATATATTTGAAGACAAACATGCTGCTGTCATCTCATCGATTAACAAAGTTTCTGGTGACATCGTATCATTAGAGAACAAAGTTTCTGACGATATTTCAAAAGTTTCATCTGATGTAGCCAAAGTTTCCGGCGACATCGCTTCCTTAGAAGAAAAGTTTCTAACGAGCTAACATCTCCTTGGAAATCTCTAAAGTCACTTCTGAGATGTCTGCTCTCGACGATAGGATGTCTTCGTTGAAAGATCAAATTGCTGCCGATATGTTAGCCTTCGAAGAAAAGATATGGAAAGAGATTTGGAAAGGAAGATTGGGGGAACAGGAATAGCAGAGAGAGTAAACAATCCAACTACCGTAGAGATAAAAGAAGACGAAACGAAATGTAAGTTAGAAACACGGCCGAAATTTGAAGGAAATGGAGGTTCTGTTCATGTCAAAGTCCCAACTTTCGACGGAAAATCGTCATGGAACAACTACATGAAACAGTTCGAATCAGCTGCAAGAGCGAATGGATGGTCTGAAAAAGAAAAGACTGTAAACCTGACTATCGCTCTTCGAGGAGATGCTTTAGATGTGCCTCAGACCATAGCCGTAGAGGAAACGGATAATTTTGAACAACTTAAGAAGAGGTTAAATATGCGGTATGGCCACGAACATTTGGAGCATGTATATCAGTCGCAGCTTAAAAATCGAAGACAAAAGAAAGATGAGGCTCTTCAAGGATATGAGGTAGATATTGCAAGATTAGTACGATATGCTTATCCAACAGCTCCCGAAGACATGATGGAAAAGTTGGCCGTTCAAACGTTTATTGATGGTCTTCGTGATCATGAAATGCAGAGAACACTACGATTAGCTCGTCACAAGACGCTGGTTGACGTCTTATCCGCCGCCCTCGAATACGAGTTAGCTACGCAGGCCTCGGCGGGTACAGTAAAGTTAGGACTGTAAAAGAGGAAGAAGATGAAGATAAACTTGACCAGCTCATTAATATGTTAAGCCGTAAGAAACTGTTACCAACGAGGTTGCGACTGCGGACCGCTATAGGTGAAAATGCCAACATTCTTGGAGAAATCCAGGTACAATTAGGAATTGGAGCAGAAAAGTTCGTCCATACTATTATAGTTGCTGACATCGAAGAGGATGTTATATTAGAAATGGACGTAATGAATACGCATGGATTCCAATTGGATTTTAAGAATAAGGTAATCAAAGTAGGTAACGAGGAGGTATTTCTCCATCCATATGATGACAACACTATGCAAGCAGCCGTTAAAGAAGATACAGTCGTACCTGCGAGAAGTGAAACGATAATAGTAGCGCGCCTACAGGGAATTGTGGACGAAGGGACACCTGTTATGATGGAGCCTTGGAACCATGACGACGACAAGGTTGGCCGAGGAATTATAATTGGAAAGGAATTGGTGACTTCGGCTAAAGAAATACCTGTGAGACTTATCAATGTCAATGACTATCCAGTCACCATCAAAAAAGGGACAAAAGTAGGAACTTGTGTACCTGTGATATCCATAATCCGTCAGACGACAACATCTGATAATTCCAACGACAAATTCGACCAAATGGTTGCGGTTGCTGGACAGTCTCTGAATCAGATTGAGAAAAGGAAATTAAGGGAATTTCTTCGGCAGTATCGTGATATTTTCGTACCAAAAGGAGGAAAGACGGGAAGAACTACAGTTGTTAAGCATAAAATTGATACGGGTAATGCTAAGCCAATTCATCAAACAGCTCGACGATTATCACAGGCGAAAAGAGAGGAAGCTGAAACGATTGTTCAAGAAATGAAGAAAGACGGGGTAACAGAACCTTCTACAAGCCCATGGGTCTCTCCGGTGGTGTTGGTTAAGAAGAAAGACGGAACAATGAGTTCTGTGTGGATTACCGTTTGCTGAACAACGTTACCAAGAAAGATAGTTATCCTCTGCCTCGGATCGATGACACATTGGACACATTGGCTGGAAGTAAATTAT